GGGACTCGATCCCAGGACCCTGGGATCATGACCTGAGCCGAAGGCAGACGCTTAACGACTGAGTCACCCAGGCGCCCAAATAAAGCTATTTTTTTAAAGTAAATGTAATTAAGGATGCCTGGGTGGCTCAGTCGGCTAAGTGTCTGCCTTTAGCTCAGGTCATGATCCCACCATCCTGGGATCAAGTCCCACATCGGGCTCCTTGCTCAGTGTGGAGACTGCTTCTCCCTCCGCCTGCCACTCCCCCTGCTTGTGCTCTCTCACAAATTAAATAAAATCTTTAAAAAAAGTAAATGTAATAAATACTCAAAAATTGTCACTTCCAAATTTTTACTATGTCTTACTCATATATATTCCTGAGGTCATTGATGACTACTGTTATCTGTATGGTGGATATAGAATACAGTGTTGTGCTACTGCATATTTCTTCCCAAATCCATGTTCAGTGACATCATTTTGGCAACCTGAAATTGACTAGGATGGGCGTATACACATGAGAGAAACTGACAAACACTCCAATACAGGGCTTGTTTATTGAATGTCTAGACCAGAAAACGATGGAGAATATGTTAAGAATGTAGATAATGCTCAAAAGTATATAGCCTCTGTGGGTGTTAAACTGTGAATAGCACAAAAGAAATTGAGAAGACATTCTTATAGAATTCAAAAACAATACTTCCATTTGGCAGAGGACACATCATTGCTGAAAAATGAGTGTTCCAAAATATGTCTTTTTATTTATTAATGAAAAGTATGAGTGCAGTTCCAAAATATGTCTTTTTATTTATTATGAAAAGTATCAGCCAACATCCATTTTAAAATAAGCAAATTAAAGAAGATAACAAGAGGCAAATAAACATAAAAAAATGCTCAACATCATGAAACATCAAAAAACTGCAATTAAAACTATAGTGAAATGCTATTACACCTCTATTAAAACAGCTAAAATTTAAAAAGACTGACAATATGAAGTATTGGCAAAATTGGAGGAACAGAAGTTCATATACTGTGGGTGGGAACACAGATGCGTATAACCAGCTTAGATCACAGTTTGCCAGTTTCTTAAATATTAAAACATTCACATTCTCTGAAGTATTGGTACAAGAGAAACAAAACACATATTCACATAAAGAATCATATGCCTATGTTCATTGAAGCTTTATTTCTAACAGCACTAACCTGGAAACAACCCAACTGCCCATTAACAGATGAACGGATAAAACAAATAGTGGCATATCCGTAGAGAAGAATACTACTCAAAAATAAGAAGAATAAACATTCATATAAGAAACATTGGGGAATCTCAAAATAATTATGCAGTGTGGAAAATATCAGAAAAGAGTACACACTTTATGACTCAATTCATGTAAATTCTAGACAGTTTTTAAAGAAAGTAAATCACTGGATCCCTGTAGGTCTGGTAAAGACAAGGAGAGATTATAAAAAAGCATGAGGTACATCATGGTTGTTCATCATCATGATGATGATGGTTTTATGGGTTTAAATGTGTAACAAAAATTTTCAATTGTTCACCTTAAATATGTGTAGATTATTGCATGTCAATTATGCCTCAATAAACTCCCCCCAAAAAGTTCAAAATAAATCTGAATCACCCACTTTTTGTAAACCAGGTTTAACAACCCAGTACCGACTCCACTCTATTTTTCCTTATTCCTGAGGAAGAGCAGCCCTGAATCTGTGCAGGAAAAATTGGTGAGCAATGGAAGCTGTTCCAATCTGGGACAAATCGAACACTGGCTGGACCACAAAAGCCACATCCTGGGACAACACGATCTCCATTCTGTCTTCATTTCTCTGCCTTCTTTAGAGCAATGGATGACCACTGAGGTGAACAGCCCAGGAAGACAATGAGAATTCACAAAATCTTTAGATTATTTGCTCTGACAATGATTTCACCTACAGGAGATACACAGCTCTGGAAGTACTGTAATTCCTCACAACCAGAGTCAATAGAAGATTTATGGATGCACTTTCAGAAGAGGCATATATCATCTAGTTTGCTGCAGGCCTCTCCCCTGCCTATTTATTACGTCCAGGATATCAGTACCATTTATGGTTGAAACTGGCTCCTGTAGTCTGACGAATGATACCAGTCTTCAGAATTATAAACATCAGGACACTTTGCTCCTTTGTAGAACCTGGTGAAAATCTTTCCCTCAATAGTGCTGGGCATCACGTGACACCCTCTGGGAGCAAGAGAATAAATTCATGCCATTCCTAAAGGCACCAGAGCTTGCCAAAAAAAGGGACCCTTCCTTAGGGTGTCCTATGGTCTCACAATAGATGGAGGCATCTAGGCCACAAATTAGGACCACGAAGCACTGAACTGGTTCCTAGTCTTGTGCAGCAATGCAAATTAGGCCAAAACTGGAATGAGAACTACTCTGTCATTGTATTGTCCCCACTGAGCTGCACAAAGTTGGGGCCCCTACACGAGCACGATTCTGTGTTCCACCCAAAACAGTGACTACAACTCCCATGACTAAAGATAGATTAAACAATAAGAACTTTATTGCTGCACAAACCAGAACAATGAGGCAGATCATTACTGGTTGGTGACCTGAAGGCTGGAAAAATCAACTACAAGTATTAGGTGAAACCAACAATTTCCATGAAGAAGGTAAGCCTTCCCTGCAAGCCTCCAGCAGAGCCTATTCTTAGCCCAAACTGGGTCATATTCCTACTTAATCAGAAAAGGGAAATCACTGTAAGAGCAAAGACTACTCAAGATTTCCTCCAGGGAACGGGAGAGAACACAAACATCTGCCTTGCCTTAGGCACACTGGGGTGACCAATGAAACACTATACAAGGTAATGGAAGTGGGATGGCTTCTACTAGAGAAACTGGCAGTGATCTAACTCTGGTAAGAGTCCTGGGTGGTTTGGAATGTGCAGTGCAGCTCCTGTAAACCTCACACATGCCTATAAACTCATGGGGAATTTCACCCCTCCAGTTGCTTGCAAGTACGAGGTTTAACTTCAGGCACATGGCTCCCTCAACAAACTATTTAGTGCCATTAGAGTGAACAAGGAGACAGCATGTTTTCTTCAAATCTAAGCCTATTTTCAAGTGTGGACTTCCTGATGCTAAACAACATCAGATGTTGCAGTGAAGGATTTCCCATATTTCCTGCATTCACGGGCCCTCTCCAGGGTGTGAAATTTATGGTGGAGATTGAGGCTGGAGCGTTGGCTAAAGGATTTGCCACATTTGCTGCATTCATAAGGCCTTTCTCCAGTGTGAACTACCTGGTGTTGAATGAGAACAGATTTTTGCCTAAAGGATTTTCCACACTGGCCACACTCATGAGGCCTTGCTCCTGTGTGAATGCTGCAGTGCTGAATAAGGCTGGTGCTTCGACTAAAGGATTTCCCACATTCACCACACTTATAAGGCCTTTCTCCAGTGTGAATTCTTTGGTGTTTAGTGAAAATAGCTCTTCTGCTAAAGCATTTCCCACACTGGCCACACTCAAAAGGCCTTGCTCTACTGTGAATTCACTGGTGTTCAACGAGGCTGTAGCTTTGTCTAAGAGACTTCCCACATTCAGTGCATTCATAAGGCCTTTCTCCAGTGTGACTTCTATTGTGCCGATCAAGTTTGGATTTGGATCCAAAAGCTTTCCCACATTCCCCACACTCATAAAGCCTTTCACTGGTGTGAACTCTCTGGTGTCTAATGAGAGTAGCTCTTTGGCTAAAGGATTTCCTACACTGGACACACACATAAGGCCTTACTGTGGTGTGAATTCTCTGGTGTTGAACGAGGGTGAAGCTTTGTCTGAAGAATTTTCCACATTCACTGCACTCATAAGGCTTTTCTCCAGTGTGAGTTCTCTGGTGCCTTATGAGACTGGATTTGCACCCAAAGGCTTTCCCACATTCCTCACACTCATAAGGCCTTTCTCCACTATGGATTCTGCAGTGTTCAATAAGGTTGGAGCACTGACTAAAGGATTTCCCACATTCACCACACATATAAGGCTTTTCTCCAGCGTGAACTCTCTGGTGTATAATGAGGGTGGCTCTTTGCCTAAAAGATTTTCCACATTCACTGCACTCGTAAGGCCTTTCTCCAATGTGGACTCTCTGGAGCTGAACAAGTGAGTACTTGCAGCGAAAAGCTTTCCCATATTTGATGGTCTCATAAACCCTTTTTCTAGTGGAGACTCTTGGGTGATAAACAAGACTTCGTTTGTGGTTCGAGGCTTTCCCATCATGTGATTTGTAATGACTTTTCCACTATGAAAGGCCTCCCCACACTTGGTGATTTTGTTTGGCTTCTCACTGTTGAAAATTACCTGGTGCTGGAGAAAGCTCCATGTGGCCGGGAACTCCTTTCCAACCTTCCTACAGGTGAAGGGATTCCCTGACACATGGAATATGCAGCTCTTTACAGATGAGGCCCTCTCTACCTCCCTTTGCTCTGCAGTGTAATGTTTCTGAAGCTGGTGTAGGTTTGCACATGCTCCATCCAAGTATAGTTTCTGCCCAGGTAGATCAGCCTGGTGCAAAATGTCTTTCAGGATTGGGACACATTTCTCACAGGGGTGAGTCTTCTGGTTGGATGGACCTGCCTTTGGAGTCCTGACCCGTGACAAAACTTCTCCAGAAACGCTCTGTTCAAAAGGTGCCTCTTCATCCTCCATCCCATGCCAACAAACTGAAAAAAGAGAAATACTGATGAATCATGCTGACTATGCGGGAGAGTATTCATCATGCTTTTTTTTCAGCTATCTGTATAATATGATGTTTTCACATCTTTTAAAACCTTGATGGTAGAGGAGACAACGACCTGAACAACACTACAGACCAAAGGGAGCTAACACACATATACAGAACATTCCATTGAACAGCAGCAGAATACATATTCTACTCAAGAATGCAGGGGAAAGTAACTAGGATAGATCATATGGTAGGCTACAAAACAAGTCTTAACAAATTTAAGAAATCTGAAATCATATAAGTATCTTTCCTGACCAAATGCAATGAAAAGTAGGAATTAATAACAGGAGGAGAATTGGAAAATTCACAAATATGTGGGAATTAAAGAACACACTCTTGAACAACCAATGAGTCAAAGATGAAATCAAAAGGGAAATCAAAAAATATCTTGAGATAAATGAAAATAAACAATACCAAAATTTATGGGATCCAGTAAAAGCAGTTCTAAGAGGGAAGGCTATAGCAGATATATATCTACATCAAGAAAAAATGAAAGATCCTAAGTAAACATTCTACCTTCACATCTTAAGGAACTAGAAAAGAACTAAGCCTGATGTTAGCAGAAGGACGGAAATAATAAAGGTCAAAGTGGAAATAAATAAGTCTAGAAGAACGATAGAAAAGATCAAAGCTAAGATGTTTTGTTTTGTTTTTTTAAAGATAAAATTGACAAACCTTTAGACTATGGAAAAAAGGCTCAAATAAAACTAGAAATGAAAGAGAAGACATTATAATGGATACCACAGTAATATAAGGATCATAAGAGACTACTGTTAACCTCTGTACATCAACAAACTGGATAACCTAGAAGAAAGGGATAAATTCCTAGAAACATACAACCATGAAGAAATAGGAAATCTGAACAAATCAACAATGAGTAAGGACATTTGAGTGAGTAATCAAAAACTTCCCCTTAGGGGCGCCTG